AAGTTTAAAAAGTCAACTTTGAAAAATTTATTTAGATTAGGCTCAACAAAATTTTACTAAATGTCTTTAAAAATATCACTAATTAATAGAGTTTGTAACTTTCTTGGTATTTATATTATTGGAATTGTATGTTCGGTTGTCTACATATTAAATTACAAATTTAATTAACAAAAAAAAAGATATAAATTTGCATCCCTAACTGCATGTACATGGAAAAACGTAATTTTTAGATGAAAATTTATCAATTTAGTTCACTAGAAATCGAAAAATAGCTCAATTATAAGTTGCATTTTAAATTGTCCCGGCGCCTCCACCAAAATTTTCGATAATATTTTTTTATAATTATTGTTAACATTTGTGAATATTTATTAATGTCTTTTTTCTTCATTACATTAAATCGATAGTATAAAATATTGAGTTACTTTTAAGAAAATTAAATCAGTAAAAGAACTGGCGATTACAAATTTCGTAATCTTTTGTATAATTATCTACTAATTAATAAATGAACTGAAGGTTATGAGTCATCAATTTGTCATGATTTTGTCTAAGATTGTTCTGATTACACAGTCTGGCTATGGTCTTGATTGAACTTTCGATGCATGCAGGACACGGAATAAAAAACAAATGTCTTAGAAATGTTACATTACCTTTCGTTATTTTCTGACACATTTATAACGTATAACAAAAGAACACTGTATATACCTATAAGAATCATACATGGGATTCACTGCCAGACAAATAATTATTATATATCCTAGAGGTGGATCTGCAACTGGAGCATGCGACCCTGGAGCAGCTGAAAATGTCAAAGGTCACCCACGCTATTTTCTCATTGTGTATTAAATACGTATAGATATACATCATTGCAAAATTTAATATAATTTTTGTCGATTTTTATTAAAGTCATATTCTAATTACATATATGAAAATTAAGGAAAACGAAAAGTTTCAAAAATATATATTAATTGTTCACAACAGTTGTTTTATCATAACATTGGCTTCTTCAGGTGAAGATTTTGTGATTAAAATTGTTACAAAATTAGCATAAATACTAAAAGCTTTTAGAAGAATTAATGATTCGAAAGAATTACCAAAAAGCCATAAATTAAACCTAGCTGAAAGTCTTTATATCAATAAATACAATAAATTAAATATTTTACTATCATCATCATAAGGTCGTCAGTACTAAGACTAGTTGGACACGCACCTCGACTCTTTCCTATCCTGAGCTAAACTTCGCATTTCTCTAAAGCTAGAAAAAAACTTTTGGGTGTTTCATTCCCACCAGCCAGTAATGCTGGTGGGCGGGCAGTCCCTCCGGGCTATGCCGGAAGGTAGGGCGGAAAGCCCTCTTCAGCCTGCTTTCAGGAATCGTGGGAAATGGGTGGGTGGTGGTTCGGGTGAAAAAGATGAGACGGACGAAATGAAGACAGAAGAGAGTGAAAGATTATCTGTGGAATATTACTGCCTCAGCATTTGCCTAGGTGATCCAAGGAAACCACAGAAAATCTTGGACCAAGGCAGACGGACAGGACAGACCCGGAATCGAACCGGCGTCCTCCCGAATGCTAAGCAATGGTCTAGACCTCTAGGCCATGCCGCTCGGTCTCTAAAGCTAGAGCAACCCATATCCTTAACTATTTACAGTAATCTATGTAGGTCTACCTCTACCCCTCCTAACTTCCGTTTCTGCCTCTAATATGTCTCTGACCAGACCTTCATGCCTGAGAAGGTGTCCTACTAACCTATCTCGCCAATTTCTTATTGACTTCCATACTAAATTAATTTAAATAGTTCTCAGTTATTAAATTTAAATTTGTCTTCAAAAACTTACTGACTTACTCTTTCGTTTTTCCCACCCCATAAAATTTGTTAACTTTTAATATTTATGCTAATTTTGTAACAATTTTAATCAGAATATCTTCACCTGAAGAAGCCAATGTTATGGCGAAACAATTGTTATGAACAATTAAAATATATTTTACTTTCGTTTCTTTTAATTGATTATGGAGCTTCAACAAGTAAAGCCTTCTACCACTAATTAAATATATTGAAAATTAATTCGATTTTGAGTAGATGAAGATAAAACGTTTAATTGATACAAAATACTGCACGTTTATTATGTTACATGAAATTTTGGTGAAGTTAAACTTTAAATAATGTTCGCAAACCCTAAAATAATGGACCTCTTCGTAGAGGTCTTGGCTTTGGCTGAGGCGAGCATCTTGGTGGTGGTGATTTTACTTTTTTTTCGTGCACTTTGCGATGTTCTCCAAGTGCCAATTCGCTCCCTTTCCAGAGGCAACCCTCTGCTGAACAACAAACTATTTTACAAGTCGATTGGTGGTCGTCCAATTCAGTTGAAAATCCTGAAAAATTTTAATACGATTTTTGTAAAGTTAAACCTACTAAATTTCTTATTATCCATCATGCTATTCTTAAATTGGATTTGGCAGAATCAGGAACAATAGGTCTTTGACATAATTTTACTTTTCAAGTTGAGTCTGATACAGTGTTTGTCCAATAAGTATATCGGGACAACATTCAGAAAAAATAGGGATCTTCAATGCAATATACCTACTGTTGATGAAGTTGCTTTGTCTTCCAAAATTATACCTTTTATTTAGAGTCGTCTTTAGTCTACAAAAGGGGTAATGTAATAGGACAGGATCAGAGGTCAACGTTGTGAGCAGGGCGTGACAGTGCTCCCTTTTATTCCTAGAATAAAATCTGGGAAACAATTCGGTGCAACTCTTCTTAAGTGCAAATGTTTTGTACTGTTTGATTCCATTGAGCGTTGCTTCTTCCTTCTACTTCGTCCATTTCCACTTTTATGGCTATTTAAAAAAATTGAGAATCTTCAGAACTAATTGGTCCAGATCGGATCCTAAACCTGACATCTTCTACCAAAATCCGCTCTTCCTATATCACTTTTTCTGGACTACAAATACAATTCCCGATACCTTATTGGACATACATCCAGTATTGGAAGATGAGGATAGAGTGGATAGAGAAGGTTAGAAATGAGGAGATATTAGAAAGACAAGGAGAACAGAGGAAGTCAATAAGAAATAGGGGAGATAGGTTGGTAGGGCATCTTTTAAGGCATTTAGGTCTAGTTAGAGACTTATTAGAAACTAGGAGTTAAAAAGAGTAGAGGTAGACCTACATTAGATTGCTGTTCACAAATAGTTAAGGATGTGGGATGTTCTAGTTTTAGGGAAATGCAAAGATTAGCTCTCAGGATAGGATTGAGTGGAGGTGCGTGTCCAGACAGACTTAAGATTGACGATCTCATGATGATGATGATGATGATGATGATGATGTATGATATGTATGCACAGGTAGTACCTTTAAAATCACATCCCAAAGATTTGTTTTTGCAGTCGATGACGTGTTCACTAGCGATGTCTTCTAGAGCAAAATTTCTCGTTTTCAACATTTTCCCTTTGCACATGGGACATTCTTTAAAGGCTGGAGTACACGTAAAGCAAAAACTATGCCCCGTTTGGCATTGAAATATCGGAGCTCTCATGAACGTGTAACAAATTGGGCATTCCAAAATAGTTGGTATCGAACTTGGTGGGTCCTTTTTATCATCCTTTTGTTTACAGTCGGGTCGTAAAACTATTTCACAAAAGAATTCATCACTTTCGCTCAGCAAGTATCTTATGGCGTCCTGGGTGATTGAATTTCCTTTCTGGAATTCTATGCTACGTTTCAATTCGTAGGAGCTGACTTCTTGAACAGGCAAATGAATCTCTTTCAACAAATCGTCCGAAAACAGTTTGAACCTGTATTTGACTTTTATTTTTTTGTATTCCAATTGGATCAGGGCAAACTCTAATAATTTATTTGTATCATTGAAATTGACGCAAAAAAGATACTTCTTTCCTTCCAACAAGATAATCTTACAACCCAGTATACTAAATTTGCCATTAACACCTACTACTTTTATTTTTATACGATGTACCTCCTTGACTGAGCAATTGTGCATTTGGGACATGTGATCGACGATTCCTGTTAGATTTCCTCGCCACAGGCAGTGCATGACTGACGCCACCGGACATAAATAAGGGCGTTTTCGACATACCGTTTCATGTGCAGCCACTTCCTCCCAGTTTAACATTTGATTACATCCAAACTTCGAAAATTGACACGGAAACCTGAAATGTTGTGCCAAAACTTCGTAGATTTCGAGACGAGTCCCAAGGTGAGTTGTCGGCGAGCATCTTCCACAAAAATAACCACCCTCTAAATTATACGTGATAGGGGGTACCGATAACGGATTTTCGCACTTGTTACATTTTAATTTCTGTAAGTTTTCTTCACTTACTCTTAAATGGGGCATTTTAATAACGTCGTATATTTCTATAGAGGTGTCTTTATCTGTTTGCTTCCAGCCGTATGAGTAATAAATTGTTATCTTTTACTGATAATGTACTATCTCGCTTTTATTGTTCTCTCTCTCTTTTGTAAAAATAATAAATAGGCAGCAGAGAAGATTTATTCTACTTGACGATCATTTTGTTCGTATTTTATCAAGATTTAACGATTTTTTGAAATGATCGTACAATTTATTTTAATCTAATGAGAAATAGCGATTGTAAATGTTTAAATTAATAACAATTTAATAAGTTGCGCAAATCAATGTTTTCTTCGAACTTTTACACTAAAAATATATTGAGAAATGAATAGGATTTTGTAAAAATAAAACAAAACTGAACTCAAAAATGAATATATTTATTCAATGAATATTTTATTTGACGTATAAGCTAAACTTCTTCTAATTTTCTTCCCTCTTAGTGTAACTGCAAACGGCAATAAACTTTTCCGTAAANGTTAAAATCAAAAATATTTACCTGGTAAATGACTGCCTACATGGTAGACTTTTTGGGTGTATTGACCCTGCCCCCCTGGTCCATCAGTATATGGTTCATTTATTAAAATTTCTACTCCACTACCAGCGCCACTGCTTTCATTTCTACTTTTTTTCTTAAATTAAAAAATTGCCGAAATCAAAAGAAATGGTAATTTTGTTTAAAAAAAAGTTTATGAAATGATTTAAAAATACGTACATATATATAAGTGAAAACTTACTGCTATCATATACAGCTGAGCTATTCTGTATTCTTCAACTGTCAGGGGCAAGGGTATTCTGTATTCTTTTATAAGCATGGTCACCCTTCAAAAGCTCTATTCTTGGAATAATACCATGATGTTAAACAACTTTGGCTACCTGCACTAACCGGGTAGGTCCATATCTTGTTAGAAAATTTCAAACTACAAACTACAAAAGAAAGAGAGGTAAAAGTAGTAGTAGTAATAGGTATTATTTGTAATACAGTGTAGTTTTTTTTTGAAAAATATTTTCAAATATACCTACTACATGGGTAAATTTTATCGTAGCTGTTTTAGGATGAATTGTTGCAGTAACCTCTTTATGCATTGTTTACAATTTACAAAGTTTAACAATTATTATTACATCGAGCTTAAAACCATTAAGATTCATTTAGTATTCTAATAATAATCATCGTAAAAGTGGCTAGATGCACAGGAAAATGAATGCTCTGAGAACGGATGGAAGAATAGAAACTAATAAATCGTGTAATCTTATTTTTCATAATACTTTAATACTTTTCGGCCAATTTTGTTCTCGTCTCGTACCTTGTAGATATATGTGTGATTCTTTACGAAAAATTCGACTACATTAATTTATAATCGTGTTTGTTGAAGGATGCTATTGTGGATCTGCTTGAAAGAAATAAATTGACTTTGTTTTAAGGATTCATCAGTAAAATTATGTAGGTAATCAATAGAGTAAGCACTCATAAACTTTTTGACCTTTACACAAGAAACCAATAAACACCAAACACTGTAACATACAGGGCTTCATTATCTTCAAGAATTCTATAGGTCTATGTGTATACGTAGCTATTAACTCACAATTTAATTAGTTTTGAATTAATTGGAAAAAAAGAAACTGCGTCTAAAACTACGAAATAATAAAACATTATAAACATCAATGTATCAAACTTTCGTTAAATAACTAAAGTGATAATTTGTTTTTTAATGGCAAACAATTTCAAGGTTGACAACGTAATTAAAATAAGTTGAATGCAAAAACCATAAAGTTAATCTCTTACACATGCAGTACCTACATGTAATTTTTTCTACACTTTATAAATTGTTTACAATAAATTTTTAACAGATTGCTTTATGTTTAAAATGATTGAAGTACTCCATATAGCCTACGACAGTTATTAACGTGAAGTATAATAAATCTTTTTTTGTTCTATTATTTCTTTTTTTTTTTTTTCGACCTTTGTACATTGTTATGGTTAACTTTATTTATTTAAAAAACAAAACAACATCTACTAATCGATTGTCTACAAGCAATATTATTGTACAATAACAACAACAGGAGCTATATTTATAAAACATTGGGACAACTTACCAATTGTTTATTTTTCATGCAATTAATAACGTTGTATTTACAAACGTTTCTAATAAACATTAGTTCATTCATTGATTCCGTCAGTATTATTTACTAACAATAAAAAGTAAAGTCGAATATAACTAATATCTCTAACTACAATACTATTACGTGTATGCACAGTGAATATTTTG